ATATATATACATACATATACATAGACATGTATACAAACATACCTATATACGTATACACATACATACGTGGATACACCTACATACACACAGAAACATACATAGATACATATATACAGACACAAATAGGTAGATAGGCACATAGATAAAGAGACACTTAGATACATACATACGTAAACAAGAATGCAGGCATAATTGAAAGGAATTGAATATTACGAAAAAAATATACTTGTATACATATTCGCATACAGGTATCCGTGTATGCACTCGCAATTCAAGGAAAAGGTAATATGCAATCATACAATCGGTGTCCATGCACATGTGCTTTGGAAAGGTACTGAATAATACAAAAAAAATATACTCAGCAATGTGCAATCATAGAAACGATGCCCATGCTCACGTGCTTCAGAAATCACCTCTGTTCAAATAGATTCAACGACATACCCTTGAAATCAGCCCCACTATTAAGTTTAACTACCACGGGCTTGCCCACAATGTGCTTCAAGAAATCGTTGGGTGTGGTTTTTGCAGCCATTGTTGTATGAGATAGCTTATCGTTTGATATATGGTTGACGTAAGTAGCTATATGTTTATGTGTATACGAACAGTACTTGCAGATAACCATAGCAAGTTTCCGTGTTTACATGCTGAAGTCCCTCTAGCCCTTGCGACTTGCGAGCCCAATTCTTCTCATTATTTACGCCCGTTGTGGCAAAATAAATTTGAGATACTTAAACGTGATAACGTATAAGTAGGATAGAAAGGGTCTGACCTATTATGAATTTTAAAGGACTGTACTATGAAAATACCTACTTTTGACTACAAATTAGAACCTAAATATTGCACCCATACAGCCTAGAGAGGGAACCGAATCAATATAAACATATATAAAAGTAAAAAGGTACGTACACATACATATTTGATTTTTATACGTTACAACGTAAAACGTATTGTGGTCAGCCACGCATACCCACATTTTCTGTTCCAAAGGCGCGCAATAATACTTCCTACAAAAAATACATCACCCCGGGTATATGACGCGACTGAGGCAGTCATTAACAGTATGATTGTGTGATCACAACGGAACATTCACGAAGTAACATTCCTCTGGCATGCAAGTCAAAGGTATTACCACGTCTGAGATGAACTAGAGCATAGCCACAGCCACCCGTGATGACGGGGGCCTCGCTAGCACGAAGGGGTGTAGCGGTGTCTGCGCAGAGAAGGCTGTTAGTCGGCCGAACAGGCCGAGTTGAACTAATTGAGTGCGCACCCATCTATAGGGAGATATGCGGTGGACAGATACATAGCTATTCTACATCAAGTCGTGGTTGTGCTCACAAGTCTTTTGTACGGAATACACAGTCTACAGACAAGGGGCGCAGTATTTCTACGCTCACTAGTGCCCTTCCCAGCACGCAAGCGTATTGCAGTCCTGGCTCATATCATCCGGGGTTTAGGATTTCTCCATATAATTCATTTATTATTCGGTCAAATGCACGTTCATACACTGAAAGTGAGAGCAGAAAGGATACACACATACACACTGAGAATGTGAAACAAAAGCGCTCTGGCACGCGAGATGTGGACCGTGTGAAGGCGGTGAATGCAAAACTCAGCGCGTTTCTGGATTCTAGCTTGCTCGGCGATAGCAAGATTACAAATACTGAGAGTAGCGCTAAGCCCAGTGATGGTAAGCGAAAGCTTCCCAAAATGATCAAGGGAAAACGCATACGCCCCAGGAAGACTCAGTTGGAGACTTCGGTTGAGAGCAGAGATCATATTCTTGATGTACCTGAATCACGAGTACGATCACATGGCATTAGAGATGTATCCCTGGAAGGAACTTCCCTTAGAACAGGCGGGCTAGAAGAAGGTGGTCTAGCATCAACGTCAGACAGTACTGCAGGTGCAGGAGGGAATATGCGTGAATCCCATCCATTCTTTGCGTCGTCTGTGGCGACGGAAAGCACTGCGGAAGCAGGCGCTGAGATACCGATGGAAAGCGCTGATAGGCTGACCTCGTCTGCCGTGGAGGAAAGCTTCGGTACGGCGTCGTCCAGTACGAGTGAGAGTGTAATTCCTGATCTTAAGAATGCTGCGAAACCTGGTGGTTCCAAGGGCAACAGCGGCACATCACCAAAACCACAACCACAACCACAACCCCAATCACCGACACAAGCCTATGCCCAAACCATCATCCCCACGAACCGCGCGACAACTGAGCAGGAGATGATGGACATCATGGCGGGTGGGTACACGTGGCAGGTGACCAAACAAATGCGCAATAAAGAGGGCGAGTTAGTGTCAGTGCGATCAAACGTCGACCCCCTGGCTGTGCAGGCGAGTGCCGAGTGGAAAACGCGGAGAGAGGTCCGATTTTTCCTGGATAAGCTGAAGAAATCTGTAAAGCGGTTACCGAAGAAAGCGGCGGCGGAGACGTGTTTGGCGTTGCTGGCAAAAGAAAGAGGTAGTGTGGGTGTTGTAACGATTCTGTTCGTATCTATTTCGTATTCTCCGCATAAGTATACATCTACTTGCCTCGGTATTTGTATATTGGAGCGGCCGCATCGGTTACCAACAGCGTTAAACTGCCTGCATTCGCTCGCTAGGTGGTGAGGGAACGAGCCATTACAATTTCTGGAGGAGTGTATGTCTTTACTTTTGGGTATTACTTCAGTATGTGTTTTGCTTCGTGCCCGTGGGCGAGGGGGTGAATATGCATGTATTATAGGCCAAATATAAGTATATGTGTACAGTAGGTTAAGCATAAGTATATGTGTACTTCGCATATGTGCTTGTCTAGCTGTCCTACTAGTAAACTAGCGAAATTGAGTGTTTCGTTGCTACATTTCTAAACAGGATTGCGGACATGCAAGCATTTGGGTCTCATATTCCCGAGTCAAAAATGGTAATCGTATAGGCCAATAAAGAGGATCTTAAACGCACATCTTTGCACCTACACACCTCCGTTGTCCCCATTAACCAAATTGTGTGGCTCATACATCCCCTACGCAGACATCATATGAACTTCCCTTACTGCGGGTTGTACATCTTCTGAACGTCATACGCTCGTATTACACTATATATCAAATCATTGCTTCTCATTCGCCGCGACTTCGTCAATGTACAGAGATGGTGCCGAATGGTCTGGGAGTGATTACCTATACGCAGATAATGGGAGCGCTTGCCGTGGTCGGGAATTGGCGCTCAGCCGAACAAGTCATCACAGAGATGCAACAGAAGGGGTTCCCTCCTAATCAGGTAACTTACAGGCATGTAATCCTCTTTTATAACAAACGTGTACAGCGTTTTCTCAAATTTTCCTTCTCCTATCCATGAAGTGTATCTCCGGTGTAAGGTCAACATCTGGTCCGAGTAATTACTATCGAATGCCAATTTCCAGGTCACGAAATACTTGTTCAGTTCTTTCTTTTTCACCGTAGATTACGCACAACTGTATGCTGGATGCCTATGCGACCGGTGGGAGAGATGAGCTGGCTCTGGCGCTGCTACGACGTCTGCAGAGAGACAACGTGCCATTGAATATTAACTCCTACAACATCGTCCTGAAGGGAATTCTCCAAAGCAAAGATCCTAAAAGGTAGGCGAATATGTGCGTATCAATCCTCAGCTCGCAGATCATCTGCAAGCTCGTGTATTGTTTACTAAACTGGCGTTGTGTACTGTTGATAAAACATGTTTATGCGGAACATTACGTTTTTCTGATTGAAGGGTTCGCTCGTAACGTCAGATATGGCCCCAGCGTGTCACACTATCTGCAATGCTGTTTCAGGGCGTCTATGGATGTTGTACTATAAGTTTGCATGCTGAATTGGCTGTGTCCTTTCATTGCAGATTCCGAAATGCTGAATTCCTGAAGGATGAGATGTTTGCTGGCAAAGGTAGGTCTGTTTTGTTCTAAATGAATGTGTGCGTTAGTACCTGTCGGGTTGATTGGGTGTGTGTGTATGTGAATCCAATTGTATATCAATGCTCTCAGCCAGAGTGAACAAGGAATGCTACCATCTAGAATGACGACAAAAAATTATCAGGACACTCGATGTACCAATCAGCTCTCACGAAAACGTACCACACTTAACCTAACCGAATAGCCTTGACATTGCCTTTTGGGCATGTTGTAGCCATGAGGAAAGAAGTTCGGCACTTCTGCGTCCAATGCCAGCGTCACCTGCCCTCCCGCGACCAGGGCAGGAATGGTTTTGTAACCCATGATGTACAGCAATGTACACGTGTGCAATTATTTGTTTGCATATATGCATATGAATATATGTACATCTATGTGTGTTGATATGCGCGTATGCATGCGTTTGGTTGCGTAATCGGAAGCCTATGCTAAAGTTAACAGCCGCCTAGTTCAGGTAGAGCACCGCTTGTCTGACCACGTGTTCTATGTAAGATGGTACGACAATACTAAAGAGTACAAAAAAGCCACAGTCCACATTGTTTGCATGTACGCTATATATATATATATATATATATATTATGTACGTTGTTTTATTCTTTGTGGCGATGTAGCACTCACGGATTGGCACTTGAAACATCCCAGTCTGAGGGGCGCATGATAAGCGTAACAACGCTTTGTGTAGTAGACTGCAGGGATGTCGTGTTTAGCGAGGCTTGTGATGTTGAGTGTGAAATGAGTTTATGGGGCTGTGGTAACACGTCTGGGTTTATTCTCTCGTTCTCGATGACTGGATGCACGCGTGATACATCGTCTTTGTTATGGTCGCACTGCAAACAGAGGTTGATATGTGGGTATGTGCTTACTTAGATTGGGGCTTCAGCATACGCCAGTAGGTCTGTGTGGTCCGCCTTCCGGCCTCTGATATATATTCATGTGTGTGTGGTGGATAATTTTCTGCCTATCACTATGTGCGTAACTGTTCGATCATGCGCATTTGTTCATCGTCAGAGAATGGAATGGAACCTAACCATGCAGGCAAAGGCTTCGTGTGACAGTTGCAGTAATTTATATTTACAAATGTATATATATATATATATATATATATATAATAAAGAATAAGGACAGTACGGCCGA